AGCAGACACCTAACGGAAAGTGCGTCGGACTGCTGAGCATGTCGGATTACAAAACGTCGGATTATCAAGGGACAGCTGTATAATAAATTCAATGGATGCCAAACCATTTGGAATTGAAAATGAACAAGAAAATAAAGAAATAAGTTTAAATAGTGCACCCGATCTTTTTGATATTTTAAAAAAAGAATAGACATTCACCAAATACAGATTATTCAACAGTGGCAGAATATCGAGCCTTCGGATTAACTAGCTTCAATTTTGGATCAGCAACGGTAAATATCCTTATTTCGATCATCTGAAAACAATTTATCACAAATATAATTGTATTTGTGGTTCCTCTGTCAGTTCCGAGGGAGCTTTCTCGACAGCCAGAGACATTATCTCTTAGAAGAAAAACCGAATAACGCCGAGAAATGTAAATTATTTAATATTTCTTTTAAAAAAATAAATTGTTTTTTAAAATTGAAGTATAGTTTATTTCTTTATTAAATAAATCTGATATTTGACATCCATTTTACATTAATAGATTAGCAATCGTTGTGACGTGGTGCGACCTCTCTCGACAGTTTAAATCTCGTCTGAAACGCGGTTCAATCGCGATCGACACGAGAGGTTTTTGGAACTAGTTCCAGTCATAAGAGTACCCACAATCCCAGGCGCGAAGAAGAAAGAACATGGCTGCAACTCTGCCAGAGCGTGGATACACGAGGACGTGGGAGCATATCCAAACAAAAATAAAGAATTTGACTGAAGAATATCGGTAAGTGGAATAAAGATGTGATTATCATTAATGACATTAAACTTTAGAATCAATAGGATATTAACTAACTTTGAGACATTTAATGAAGTCATAACCCATTTCGTAGGAGTGCAACTTAGTCAGGCACGATTCTGCAATACATTACATAGCAACGATTTCTTTTACAGTCATTTTGAATTGGGATGTCCAATAACTTCTCAATTCTTCAATCTCTACTTTCTCATGAAAAATATTCAGTCATGTTTGACGGGAGAATTTCTACATTAATCTTTTTCTAATAATTTATATCCTCCTTCTTGTATTAACTATGTAATTACTTCTTCTTCTGTCTTCATAATTATTGTTTCGTTTTGTCACCTTGCAACAGTTCCGAATCATTTTCTACTAAAAAACTCTTTACGTTATTTGTCTTTTATAATTTCTTACTTTAGACAAAGTTTTTTTTGGTTAATTTTTGATTTTGTATAATATTTTGCATATCTTTTATTATCATGTTTCTTTTTCTTTTGGAATTCTCCATAATTGGCAAGCGCTATATCCGAAAGAGGGCGCTGTTTTTGAGCCAAGATGGCTGCCGAAACGGGTAAGAAACCGACCACGTGTTTGTTCAGTGCCTGAGCCGATTCAGTTTCTATTGGTGACGACGTGGTCGGCTCCTTACCTGTTTCGGCAGCCATCTTGGCTCAAAAACAGCACCCTCTGTCGGATTTGGCGCTTGCCAATAGGTGTTCAATAAATACTGTACTGCAAAGTCCTCTTTCTTCATTATCGATGGTCCATTAATTAAAATTTATTCCCAACTCAATTGTTCTTCTTATTGAACTTGGTATTTCGTTTTTTCTTCCATTCTTCTCTTTATGTAAGCGATGGATAACCTATTTTTTTAATTAATGTTTTTATATTTATTTTCGAAAGAATTTTACCGTTAATTTTTAGTTTATTAAATAATTTAAAACCGTGTGGAAGAATAGAACTGAACCGGCAACCTCCGCTTGCCAGTTGCGCCACCCGGATCCCGAGAAAGTCTTCGTTTCCAGATGTATTTAAATTATGATTAACCGCGTAAGGTTATATCTAAATGTACAGTAAATATATATTCTTTTTTTCCAGATGGTTCCAAATTATTTAATAAAATATTAAAATTATAATTATTAATTTGGTTAAGAGATGGCGCCTAACGTCTACCTGTAGTATCAAATTACTTTGTATTATCCATTAAATTAGCCGAATTATAGCCCAATTATTTAAGGCCGTCGTTTGGTTGTTTCTATATACGTATCCGGCTTCGCCATGTTTGATATTCCTTATTTAAATACGAATTTGTCCAAATGATCATTTAATAATATATAATATTTATCAAAAACACTCTTTAAATGGTTATTTTAGAAAAATTAAAAATTTCAATATTTTCAATTTTCTCTCAACAATCGAACATTCGCTATTATTACACAATTCATTGTTGACGGTATTGTCGAAGCTCTCGAAATGTTTTTCAGTGAAATTATGGAAATGCTCGTAATTTCTCTATTTATTTTGATGTAATTTAATGTGTCTGTCGATGCGAGAAGAACATCATCCCCCGGATATGGCAAGATATATTCAGCGGACGAATGGAAGGATGCGCAAGCTCCGATTCGGTCCGAAAAGCAGAATGGAATCAAAGATTTCATCAAAAAATGTCAAGATTGCCCGATAATAATTTAAAAGGGACTTTCTTTGAGAGCCCTGCAGATGAAAAATGTTTATCTAAAGCAACTTCGAAGGGAGAAGCAAAGAATAAAAGCCGAGTTCCATCGAAATTCTTCTGTCTTCGACGTTAAGCCAAACAATAAAGAATAAAAATTCGTAAGAAGTATCCGAAGAAAAGTCTGCAGAAATGCGACAAAAATGGAAACTTGTAAAGGCTTTATACAGAAAATATAATTCGGCGAGTCCTATAGAGTCAAGTGATGATAGAACCAAAGCTTTATACAGGAAAGATCCGAATAGAATGATTCAAACTTCGTATCTTCCTCGATATGACGATTATCCGATCGACGATATCCGAAAACAATATAAGAAAGAGATAAAACAGATTCGAACGGAGAACTTCTCACACCGAACAGCACTAACAATACACCAATTAATTACAGTGATACAAAATCCGGACTCGACCAGGAATATTTCAATTATTGGTGGATCGCTCTGTGTGATTGGTTTCTCCGCAACACTCCCGATTATCGTTGTTATAGATTTATTTCTCTCGTGGAAATGTGGATTTCGAGGGTTACATAAACAGATTTCCCGAAGTATATCGATACAAAACTGTCGTCGATTGGCTGTAACCTCTTCCGAACTGTGTGACAATGGGACTGATACGTCCGAATTTAATCATTCTGGTTCAAACATGGGTACATTTGATAAAGAAACTCGAGTAAAGGATGTTAACGAGTTTATAGCTCCAGAATATGCCACAAATATTAAATGTAAAGACCAAATGCGGAGCACTAGAAAAATCCCAGCAATCCGACTGATATCAAATTAAATATTCCACAACTAGAATTGGCACACGAACGGGTAAAGTTATATGTAGAACCTAAACAACGTTATATTTTGAAAAAGTTATTCAAATCAGACTGGGAAAAAGGCAAACAAACGGTTCTTTTCTTCCGGAATAAAAAGTGGCAATGAGAGAAAATCGAATAAAAGTGTTCGGTTTGAACCGTATGACACCCGCTACTTTTACGAAAAGGACCTTCCCGACATGTCTAATGTGCCATCGCCAAAACAATATCTGGGAACGAGAGATGGAAAGAATTTTCGAAAAACTTTAAATAAGGACTACGTGAAAAACAGTTCGAAAGACTTGTGGATAAAATTACTTCCCGAAGGTGACGAAGTCGATGTTTAATGAACTTCGAGACATCCCGCTATCCATTAACGAATAACATTTTACCGGAGACAGTCATTTGGATGGCACCGATTGTGCCAATGAACGTAAAGACGAAATAACATCGTGATAAAATAAAACTATATCTATATGTATAATCGAGATGGGTTGATAATAATAATAATAATAAGCGCAGAGCCCAAACGGTTAGGAGTTGAAAGTTGAAATTTGGTACACAGTTAGGGTACTTCACGAGAATGCACACTAAGAAGGGATTTTTCGAAATTCCTACCCACGGGGGAGAGGGACAGGATTAAGGCTTAACACTTCCATCAACAATGGAAGTGTTACGTAACAATGGAATTGTTAAAACGAAGTGCAAGACGCAGATGCAGTATTTTTCGTTTTTGCGAGAAATCGAACATATTTTTAGACCCATCTGAAAATTCTCTAATTAGTCTGGAAACAGGGGGACCCAATTCTTGACCCAATTGTAAAACTTTATTGTACTAAATAAATACAGTATAGTAGTAGAAGGGGAAGAAGAGTAAGGTTATTATTGTTTAGAAGAAGAAATACCATCAATTAAAACATTAGGTACCGGTAATTCCAATTATGATCTCGTCATGTTTAAATTCTTTGGCTAAGTTGGAAACACTAGAGAGGTTGCGGCCGAAGTTTTCATCTCTAAAACGTGAACGTCGAGCGCCGCCATCTTGTAAGGCTAGAAGTTTGACAATGGCGTTTGGAACGTCATTGGAATAATGCTCGACGTTAGAATCAATTTTGAAAGGAGGCTAAATTGCAGAATATAGTTCCAAATATGTGGGAGGCAGAGAATCCTGCTGACAATAGCTGTAATATAAGGAACAGCTGAAAGAAATTTTAGCAAATTATAACTTATAAAAACATATTTGGAATCCACAGTGAAGAGTGAGAGATTAAATTCTTCATCCTTGATATCTAATAAAAATGTTGTTGTTCACAAAATACGTGCATGTATATAAGTCTAAACATATACTGTATATATACAGTCGACCCCCCTATAACACGGTTGATAATTCCGTTTTATATGAATTCCATGTAGTACGAGTCACTTAGATTTTACAAATACCTGTGCCGGGCTGTGAACGGGCTTACGTATTTGTAAAATCTAAGTGACTCGTACAACATGGAATTCATATAAAACGGAATAATCAACAGTGTTATAGGGGGGTCGACTGTATTTATCATATGTATAGTCTCGGATCAAGATAAAACGATTTAATATAACCTCTAGCCAATAAGTCTCAAAGTGTTGCTTGTTTAGAAGTTTTAAATCAATAGAAAAGGATTACAATATTTAGGATCTGTTTGTTTAGTTGGAATGACGTATATTTTACGTCATCTCTTCAATTTTACAATGAATTATTCTAAAGAATGACGTCAAATCTGCTCATTATAAATGTAAGTTTAGATTTCTGGTTAGTGGAATCGTCCGTGGGAAATTCTTGAAAGTTGTGACTTAGATACGAACCCAAGCTCATTAATGCAGCGCGCAACACAAGAAACGATGAAAATTAGTGTGAAAAGAGCAAAAAACAAATAATATAATTAAATTTACGTATTTACGTCAGTGACTAAAATTATATCCAATAATTTATAGCAATTCAAATGCGACCTTCACCTCGTAAACATCCGCATTCGTTACTCTTCATTTGTTTGATTGCCAAGGCTAACTATTGTTACATCGAAACTTCCGACACAAATTGCCGATACAAAAAGTTCATTATATGTAAAAGATGTTTGACAATATCAATACAAATCTACACAAAAATTACAAACCAAGCCGAAAAATTAAGCAGGGTTGAGAGAATCGGGAAAATTTTTTGTCCACAATGGAGCCTGTCAGGAGCGAAAAGTTCTTACGAGGGCCTTCCATACATTGACAGGAATCATAAGTGTTTGTTTTGTGATAACGGTGTTACCTCCGCTTTACGTTTCTTCATATACCACGAAGGAACCATTATTAATTAAAATTTATTATATTTAAAGTTGATTTTAAATACATCATTCATAAAAATCATTAATTTGCCGTCGTTATTTCTAACTTATTTCTTCTTCGTTCACGGCAAAAACTAAGACTTCGTCTATGTTGGGAGGATCCGATTGCTGTTGCCAAACTTCTCTATCGTCATCTTGATCCACGTCGCTCAAATTCGATAATAAAATGTTACTCAGTTCTCGTTTCTTGCGGCCGATAATTGTCGGTTGTTGATTGACTTGCTGAAAATATATACAGTATTTGTTGAAATTTAATACAAAATAATAATAATATATGATAGATAACATACTGTATCAGTGTTGTTACAATGCTTTGAAATTTCGTCTTTTCGTGCATTTAGATAAAGTAATGGGATTTAATTCATAAAGTTTCAATTGTAAATCTTAAGTTGCAGATATCATAATTTTAGATACACGTTTGATCCGAGTGTAAGAGTTTACTTCATTGTTTTTCACGAATTTTAGTGCCGAGATGCAGAAGTATTCTGTTGAACCTGTTAGTATTGACAAAAGAAGCTAGTATGATGATTTTAGTTTAGTGTTTATGTAAGAACAAGTTATGTGATGCCTAAGATAACACCGTGAAACGTTTGGCACGATGAAACAGCTGAAGACATTGCTGTAATCTATAGAAATTGCTTCCGAGCTTGTAGAATTCAAACGCCTTTTCAATTCTACAGTAACGTGTTTAAACGCATTGTTAAGGGGCCAATATTTTGAGCATTTTCTATATAATTAACTTGATTTTTTTTCAATAGAACCATGCCTATTTTTAGGATAAATCTTACTATTCTTCATTCTAAAGTCATTTATAATTTTCGTGAAAATCTAACTTTCTCATACGAGTTTTAATTAATTGAAAATTTAAAACTTTAGATTTCATTTTAATTTTGTTAGTAAACTTAATAACTATTTATGAAATAAGCAATTTATGGCTTAAAATTACGTGCGAAATTCAATAAATGGACAGTGGGATAGCAAAATGTTGAGTTTAAAATTAAACTAGACTAAAAAAAAGAGAGAGAGAATAAAATTAAATAAACTCACTTCGATACACTTGACGATTAAACAGAATGCTTGATTAATAGTTATATTAGCTGCCAATTGTTGCTTAAATAGAAAAAAAGTCTTGTTAGTTCTTTAATATCGGAAAATTCCAAGCGAAATAACAAAGCATATCTTACCGAGTTTGTACACATTTGTGTCTAGATAATAATAAAAAAATAAATTTTACATTCACTTCATATAAATATATTTAAAATTAGGATATTTACATACCGTGGACGGGAATAATTGCCTGTTGCAAAGAACGCACTGACTCTGAAAAGACCAGAAATTGCAATTTACTTTCCACTTCTGTACATTTTTATTTAAAACATTTAAATACCTGTAATGTCGCCGAATCCGTAGATAACACGCACAGACGTATGTTAGTCAAAATGTTTTGCTAGAATAAAGAAAAAAACAGAATTGCAACGTGGGGTACTTCAGGATGCAATACGGAATATTCAAAAAACTTAAATTAATTTTTATTTTGAAGCCGGCTTTAACGATGGAAAAATATATTTATAAACGATAGAACCACGTTACCTGACTAAAAAACGTTTCGCAAAACGCTACCAAAAGAACAAAAGTGAAGACGATGATTTGCTTTCTCTTCGGATCCCTACAAAAATAAATCAGTTTTACGACAGCATTTTATAAATTTCTATTATTCTAAACTGTTAAAAAAATGGAAGAGGAATGAAAAATCCAACTTACATTTTATGTTGATGCGGAGAATAATGTTGGCATCATCATTAACAACTGAGAATTTATAACCTTGCGACACAATGCATGACGGCATTTTTATGAATTTTAAAAAGTTTATTTAAATAATAAATACGTATAATAAGTTAAATAGACTGAGGAACGACAGAGGAAATAGAAAGGAAGTTGGAAAATAATAGAATTTTTATATTAATAATAAAAGATTTACGAATCCGTAGATGAATTCTCTAACAAGGACACTCGATGTAAAAAGTAATGAAAGTTTTATAACTTTAATGCAGTCTTTTTTATAAATTTACGTATATATATACATGGAAATGATTTAATTTTCTGAAAAAAATGATATTAATCATCATCAAAACTATAAAATTATTTATTTATTTAATGTATGTCCTATATAAATAAAGGAAACGAGGCGTTGTAAAGGGAAATGAGTCGTGTTTATTAGGTTAATTTTTCTTTACAGAATTGATCGATGATCCTATTAATAAAAACAAAAAAAGGAAGTGAAAAATAGGTGAAAACTAATTTATAGCAGGACTTTGACACTAATTCTCCAGTCGATCACCTTTCATCTATACGTTAGTTTTTGGCATTAATTTTATTCTCTGCGTTTTTTTTTCTGATTTTCCGAACTGTATTGTTGTTTTTTCGATTTTTAAAAAATGTGCTTAGTTTTATACAGTGGCACCTTATAGATTCATGGGAACCGGGCAAATTTGAATTAGGGGTCCCCATATACGGTGTTGACTTCAGACATTTTTTTTCTTTGGGAGAATTTTTGGGGAAATCTTTTCTTATAAAATAGGGTTTGGGTCTCCGTGTTGATGGGGGCTCCAGGAAATTGCCCTTTTTGCCATAGGACAATGCGCCAGTGGTTTTATAATAGAATTCCGCTTAGAGATGTGGGTTCCTCTATCAGGTGCAATTTTCATAATTTTTTGTTATAAAATGCTGGAATGATGTTAAATTGGCGTATATTAGATTCCGAGACTACCTCCACGATCATACTAATACATTTTAAGTGACATCACACACGAATGTCGACAGATACCATAATTAAATACGGTCTTCCTTATAATCGTATTAGATATCTTTAGATGACCACGTTTTGTGGAAGGATATCACACATCATTATAATGATTACATTAAAATCAACAGATTGTGGCGAAGTTTGATATTTGTCGGATTGCCATTTATCTGGGATTCCAGTATGTTCCACAATCAATTGAACCCTCTAATATTAATATCCATTTTCTTAGAAATTGAAATTTGTATATAAAAGCAAATTAACATGGTGTAGATATATATACATATGTATAAAACTTTGAATATTCAGGTTTTGTTCCTGTATGATCATTCATAAAATGTTAAGAATGTATCCTAAGCTGGAGAGAGTAAATTCCAAAATAGTGTTACGTCAGCTTCAGTACATTATGATTGTACAATCATAATATATTGATGCAATTTAATAAAATTAATATTTTAATATTAGTTCATGAGATAAAAAAGTCTTTTTTTATATTTTTCCAATTATGCAGACTTAAAAAATGGTTTTGAATTGTTTTAAATTACAATCATTCAGCACTCATTTGATACCTTCAGAGATTCCATTTTGCTGTTTAAGTAATCCCCCTTAGGTTGCAAAATGAAATCATTAGAAACATAGTATAAGAGTCGCCAATACGGTCCGGAAATAATGTCTTATCTAAGGATACGACAGAATATCTAACTGTTTCCACTTTAAATAAACCCACTTTCCTACCAGAAAGTAATTTATCCCTTGTTAGGGATCAATAAACTTTTAAAGGTTTCAAATGAGTGCCAATAAATGATCCCGTAACAAGTGACAAACTCTCCATTTTGTAAATAAAATGACTCGGACACCAGTAATAAAAGAAAAATTGCATTAACTTGATCATTTTATTATATGAATTGCATGTATAGTATGAATGATTTAATCATTAGCAAAATGATTTACAAATTATCACAGGCGGGACTAACACATTTTCATAATCAACGAGAATGGCATTCCTTTATTTGGACATAAATAGTTAACTTATGCAATTTTATATAAATTTATAAGATATATATTTATATATAATGTGTATGTATATATATAGTATACTATTCACATATCGTACAAAAATTTTCTTGGCGCAAACTTTGCCAAGACTTAAAAAATAACAAGGTCGACACTTTTCGTCCAGTGGTTGCGTTCCTTAAATAAAAAATAAATAGGGTTGTAGGCAGTTTGAACAGAACCAATATCTGAAATATATATGCTTCGTTAACTTGCTTTTAATCGACAATATTTAGTTTTAATGAAAACTTTTAACTAAAATATTGTACTTGAAAATGTCATGATATGTAATTGTATAATAAGAAGTCTATTAGATATTGATATTTTAATATAAGTTGAGTCTGTGTGAAGATATTTATCTGTTAATGTAACAGTTTTAATATTGTTAAGTTAGGAGAGAAAAATGCTAACTGAAACATCAAGAGTTTTGTAAGATTTGAAGAATGTTATAAATTATTTATTGAAATCAAACAATGTCGTGTCAATTGAAAAAGTTAGCAGCACCCTATGTTAAAAAATTTACAAATTTGTTCAACTTGAGAATTTTTTGCATCAATTTTAGTGAATCTGAATAAGGCCATATGAAGAACATGTCTTACCTAATGAAAAATTGCCTTGTAAAGTATATAAAAACTTAGGTTAAATCATCATCTTTGCAGCAAAATTTTTCAAAATGTAAGTTAATCTTTGCCAAATTAGTATAAAATCTCAAATATATATTTTTTTCTAATTCCTAAGTAAAATGATTATTATTCTCATGTAAAATTGAAGTGAAAACAGTAAAATGATATTTAAAAAAGAATAATAAATTAATTATCTGCAAGTTGGTGAATGTTATATTACAAAAACCGAGTTCACTAAACTCGGTGAACTCAATTTCATAAATTAGTTCTTATAAAATCTCTATGCTTAAATCATCTTTCACAAATATATTACTACTTCCAATTCTTGGGAGTTTTTAAGAAATCCTTTCGTAAAACAGCATGTATGCCGACGACTGTAGAACTTCGGAAATTTGGACTTCTCTGACCATGGTGTCGGACATGTAAAACCATCGTTGTCGGTTGATTGAACTACGTCGGTATGCAATGAAATGTCCAGAGAAAACATTACCTAAATGCACAATGACTGCTTTCAACAGGTAAAGGTAATTTTGGCCTCCTAAAGTTTTCCTAAAATTAAATTTTATTTATTATTAGAGATTAGAAATAAAATATATCTGAAATATGTTGATAACAATGTAAAAAAATCTTAGCATATTAATGGCATTAAATTAAATTCTGTCTTTATCAAGAAAAAAATGTGTATGATTTTCATTAATTTTAGCTGCCAAAAAGATATTTTGAAAATATTTCAAAATACATTTTCAACATACTTATGAAGAAGTAAACAATATAGAATCTCTTCTATAGATGTGATAAATCTTGTTTTTAGATAATTTTGCACTGATAGATGACAGTAAATGTGAAGTAGATGAAAAACTAAGAAGTTGAAAAAGATTCTGGATCAAGAAAAATTGATGGGAGAGAAAAGAATTTAATAATCTTTATCTGAAAATTTAGTTTGGTTCATCAAATTTATAATATTCAGATAAATCAAATACATGGTACAGTACCTTTATATTTCTCAATTCAGCAGGTGGTTAAGACTAGATTTTATAATAGTAGTTATACACTTATTGTCAAAGAAATGTGATCACCCCCTTAGAATGGAATGACAAATGCCAAAATCAGCTGATACATGGTGTAGGTCAAAATGAAGTGTTATGACACATGTTAAAGTTTGAATAATAGTGTAGACAATACCAGGTAGACCACAACAAAGGCATTATACTCAATTAGACAACTTCCAGCGGGGCTGTATTGTGGACCTGTCATAAGCAAAACAATCTGTACAATGTATTGCCTATTGCTGTTGATATGCTATAGTCACAGTTTTTCTGTCTTCATTAGTGGAGCAAGGAAGGATCCCACCACAATGACAGGAACTGGAGAACCACCAGATTATTTCTGCAACATAGATTCATCAGACTACATGACAATGCAAATAGAGCTGTATCCACCAGCACCATCCAAAGATGCACTGGCACAGAGCTCTGAAATGGGGTATCAGAGAATTATGATATTGTTTGGGTTAATTCTGTAATGATTTTGGTTAAAGTTTTAAATAACTAAGCATTTTTATTGACTCTGTTTTTGAGGGAAAAAAGAGGAGCCAAAAACAAATTCTTGTACAGAGTCCATTAAAAGCTATTTATGGCACTGCATAGACATCTACATGTGCAGACTATTGGTAAGGAAACTGGCTTAGAGTATTCCTTTGAGCTCAAAGCACCACTTACAGCAGCTTCAGGTGGTACTGTTCACAAGTAGGCCATATCAGATACTGGAGGTGAGTGGTTCTATTGCTAGAGGTGACTGTGGATGGACAAACACACACTGCAAGTTGCATTATGGTGTAGGGTGCAATGTCCTATAACAACAGATCAGTTCTAGTAGTTTTATGAAGTCATCCTACAGCACTCCAATATCAGATTTTGGAACTGCACTTTTGGCCTTTTGTACAAGCCATTCCAGAGGGATACTGTCTGCATCATAACACTCATTCACACATTGGATGAGACCAGATCTAGAGGAACTACTTGTTCTTTCTTGGTCAACACACTAATCAGATCTTTTGCCCATCAAGTATGTCTGGGATGTGCTTGGTTGTCACATCAGAAATCACAGAGACCCAGTGTAATACATTGCTTCTTTGGAAGCTGCTCTTCAAGAAGCATGGACAGATCTCCCCAGGTTGCTATATGACATCTATAAAATTCATTGTCACAACAGTTAGAGAAGCGCATAGCGTAGGGATGGATATACAGAATCATCATGTAAACTGTCTTCTATTAATATTTCTTGCTAATAAAACATGTTGTTCTGGGTGATCACATTTTTTGACAATGTGTATGTTTATAATTAGAACTACAATGCTGAAAATATAGACAAGAATATTGCTCTTTTTTCCTCAACATATTCATTGCAAAGAATGTCTCCTCTATATCCATATACTGAATCAGAATCAAAGAGAAAAAGCAAGAAGACAAAATTATGTCAAATGACATTCCAAAATAACATGAAAGTACTACATATACCATAACAGATTTGGCTTAAGATAGAAAGTAATGAAAAACAAACCTTCAATCCAGATTGATGGAATAAAAGCCAAGAATAATTAGAAAGATATAATTTATCTTACATAACTAAAACTAATGACAAGCTTTTGCTGAATAACAATCTTCATTCAAAATTCTCATTACAGTAGGTCTTGTTATATGTGGATGGTAAATGGTATTTTCAGTCACATAAGAAACTAAGAATGAGTTAATCTTACTCTTAAGTATGGAAATTGTGCTTCTCCTGCTTCTGACATTCCAAACACAGCTAATTATTTAATGCTACTCACTATGAATGTCCTGGTTTGAATGTATTATTCTCAAGCAGTATATTCAGAAACAATGAGTAACATTTTTTAAAAAGTCTAATATAATTTTACAGTGCATTTTTACTTAACATTTTAAAATACTTTTTAATTGTAAATGGTTGTTAATTATCTCTGTACTTATCTGGTCCTACTTGGGATGGAGCACAAATTCACATGAAATAAATTTTGTTTTATGCAGTCCTGCTGACAAGCAACTACCACATAAAATAAGACATAATATAATTCTTAGTAACTTTTTAAATCTACAGTTTAATAAACACAGTATTAGTATAGCTTTGTCAAGATATAAAATAAATTAATATGAAAAGAATTTGAATATAAAAAATTTTAAATGTCTCTATAGATTAACAATGTAAAAAACCTCATACCTTCCATCTGAAGAAATGCTAAGAGATTCAGGATTTGGAATAGAATGTCTTCTAAATGCATCCATAAGAATTTTTTGTTTAGATTTCAAATCATTTTCTCCAATGTCTGTTGTTCTAAATTTTCATATTTAAAATTATAGAAAAAAATAATAATTTATTTCTGTGTAAAATTTCAAGTGATGATTTTAAAATATGTATAGAATTTGAAATAACTCACTTATTACAATCAAAGTGACTTCCACCAATTAAGCGTGTCCAAGGATAGATGACTCCATCCATATTTTTGTTTTTCCCTCCATGATACACATAGTCGTCCATGCTCAGAAGTTCGGGAAAAGCCACGTGATCTGAACATTTTATTGGCATGCCGTTGCTCAACCAAATAGTTCGTTGAATATGGAAGCACAAACATACTGGCAGCTAACGAAACAATTATTTATTTATTTATTATACAAGAATTACATGTTATACAGAAATTGAAGAAAATTAACACTGTTTATCATAAATTGCTAAAAGTTTTAAAAAACAGTTTAGTACTAAGGTAATATGTAAAAGCAGAGTTTTACTGTTGTCATTAGTGATTTTTACAATGATTTTTCAAAAATTATCATTTCCATATAAAATTGGGATAATATTAGTAATAATAGTTTTAATGACCAACAGAAAAATATGCCATTTTCATATAATCAAAACAGAAAATTCATACTGACTGTAAAGAAAAAGATCCTAACTTAAAGCAAGAGTCTAACATATTTAAAGCAAGTCTTTGTCTTATATTTTTAGATTGTGTAATGCTTTCTTTTGAAGAGAATAAAAATCAAAATTAAATAGACTTCTTATATGGATATAATTGAATTGTAGTAGTAGTAGTAAATTGCTAGTCATCACCTTGTTGAAACTAGAGATCTTAGTAGTTCCAATGAACCACAAAACAATATTGGAAAGAGTACAAGCTTCTAGTAAATCCACAGGGATAAATGAAGCAAAGAGCAGTTATATAGCTGAGATTGATGAGGCCCTTACAATAAAAAGAATGACTGTTGTACAAGGAAGACAGATGTATGATTGTATGAATACTCATTAAATAATTTAACTAAATCTTTTTGTATGTATTTAAGTAATTAACTTATAACAGATAAATTTATTTATGTCTTGAGTCAATTCCATCATCCACACCTATATTGTAAGTTACGTATCAAATAAAAAATATTTAAAAAACAATCTTAAAAATTCTATCACGTACTTACTCAACTGATATAGTTATTACATTTTTATTAATTTTGAAGCAGATTCTACATGTAAAGTCTACATAATTTTTGTTCTTTCTCATTATATTGTTTGAAACTAATATATTTTGAATGAACAGGCTCTGTGTTGCATTGTCAGATTCCAAAAAACATTAGATGATATAACTTATAAAGACAAGCTTTAAATAAGAATAATTCATTTTCAAGTATGGTTTAAAAAAAAAAAAAAAAAGATAAATGTATAAAAAAGTAGAATTCTATTCACCTTGCCAATTGTTAACTGCTTAATAAATGTAGATTTATAGGAATTTTGATCATTAGAGTTTTTGCAGTTTTGTTTATTGGCACATCCTTCACAGTTGACATCCTGAACAAGTTCACACGATATAAATTTCTTTAAACAGTCTTGTATTCTTAGATGGCCCTAAATAAAAAAAAAACGTTTTAGTATTTTATAAATCTCTCAACTATTCACTTATTAGTTCAAAAATATTTATAGAATTTAAGGAGTATTCCATAAAATTATGTTTCAAAGTATAACAAATACTATTACACCTATACTTTTACAACTTTATTTCAAAGAACAAGCTGTTAAACAGGCCATCTAACTTCCTATATGGACTCAAGATTACATTTCTGGTAACATACTTCCAACTACATAAAGCACTTAAATACAACATTTCGTACAATTAAAATAAAAACCTTGTAAAAAAATGGTCAAAGAGAGAGTGCCACATTTAAATTAAATATTAGAGAGGTTGCAACTACACATATATTACATGAAATATCCTTACGTTAACTTTCTATAATAAGAATATTTAGAATCATAAGATATAAAAGTATTGCATTAGCAAATATAAAAATAATTTAAAAACTTACAAAATGAGGATTTGGGATGGTGAGAGAAATACTGTCGAAAGTGTCATAACAGATGGGATACTGAAAATATATAATATAAACTTCAGAGTTTCTTAGATTCTTAAAATTTATAATATTTATATGTTATATAATATAAAATTTGTTATTTATAAATAATTCAATGTTTAATTACCAAAATATAACTTTTAATTTATAATTTATATACCAGACTTATTTGATTTTTGGGACTTTATTGTCATAAAATCATAAAATATTCTCTGAAATATACACAATAAATGGTATATTGTGATCTATTAATCGTAATAAAATGAATTTAAATTTAATCAAGTAGTAAACCAAGCAGTGGCAGATCCAGAAGAACCCAAAGGGGGGATTACCAGTGCAGAACCCAAAGGGGGGCTTACCAGACAAATGTCTTTTGCTTTTGAGAGAAAATTGTATTCTGATGGTAAATAAATTTACAAATGCAAAATAATAAAACAGTTTATTTAAATCAGTGGGTTTAATTATATACAGGTGGTTTTCCATAAACAAGAAAACTACTATTAAAGTTAAAAAGCAATTAAACTTTACGAGAGTAGAATGTTATTAATCAGACATTGTTAGTCAGGACATTTGAATTCTTTATAAGGAATCTTTTTCAAAGTTTTTTAAATATTCTTAGCAGAGAGACAATGAGTATAAAAAGAATTTAGAATTTACATAATACCATACAGAAAATTGGTAACCCCACCAGGGTTGCAACTCCTTGTTTGGGATGTAATGGCATGAGATGGAAAACAGGAAAATAAAATTATGTTGCCAAAGCCCTGGAGGTCACAGGTTACTCATGACTGACTTAAATCATTTAATTCTTAACTCCATTCACTTGAAAACCAATTGCACACAAGGGCAATATTTCCTAAACTTTTTAGAATCACAGCTTTAAGAAACTTTTATGACTCATCTAGCTTCTGGAAGCCTGTAGCAATGGAAATATCTAGAGTAGGTTCAGTAGGTTCTCTAGTCAAATGTGTGCGTAGTCATTAGATGAGAGCACTGAACTGTGCTAAAACTCTAAAATTACAAAATGTTTACACTTGAAAAGCTTTTCAGACCCACGGATTTAAGAAACACTCCACTAGCGTTCAGAATCAAACAGTTTCAATCTCTTTTCTCTTTCCAAAGATTAATGCACAAATTCCTGTAGTCTTACAGCAGTAATACTTTATTCTAACATTGAACATATTTATTTATTTTCTAATTATATAAATTTAAAATTTAAAACATTAATTCTATTTACATGATACTTATTCTAATATCAACAGTTCTGTTTTATATTGTTCAATTTATCTACAATTGATCACATTACTTTTTAATAATTAATCTTCGTACTTACCCTGTAGCCACATGTTTTGCATCTTAATTGACTAGCAAGAAGTCCTCTTGTTGGACATTCATACTTAAGAACTTTAGTTTGAGGATAAGAAAATCTGTTTATAATTTTTCCTGTCTGGTGATCCGTAACATCTACTTTATCCTTAAAAGTATTTTTAAAACGAATATAGAATAATAAAAAAAAAAAAGGTTTATATAAAACATTATATAACTAATAAAATCTTACTCACCACTAATTGGTTTACATCAGAAAGTGACAATACAGACAAATGAGGCAATAATTCTTCTTCTAATGTAGTAGTTAATACATGAAATAGCTCGTGAGCATCCTAATTTTTAATAATACATCAAATTGTTATGTAAAAATTCATAACAAATATGTCCAATTTCAAAATGTATCAAAGGAAAGATCTATTCAGATTTAAAAAATCTTATATGAAATATATTTGCAAAAGAGTTAATGACTTAAAATCAGAAATATACTAATTAGATTTTTGATTATATTCCTCCTTCTAGAAAAATTAATAAAAAATAGTCCATTTTTATGCAGACTATTTAAGTTTAAATCTTTGAAATAATATGATTTATAATGTATTGTAATTTTAATACGTGCTGTAGAAAATAAATCATATTAAAACAATGGCTCTATTATTTCCTAATTGAGTACTTTTTTAATGATGCATCTGGCAGCATAATTCACAATACAGTCAAATCTCCATTTATCTGGATACCATTCATCCAGATTGGTTTGAATAGTTGTTTCTTTTTAAATTTTTACACATTTCATGGAAAAGTATTTTTTGTGATGTTTGTGAGATCATTGAAACATTTACAACCTTAATATATACCTATGTAGCAATCTCACATATGTGGGGATAAAATTAAATACAGCTCTCCTTTGATAGTCTGACGTTTTTTAATCCAACAAGCTCAGTAGTCCGACGCACCTCCCATCAAGGTACCCATCCCCATTACGTGTCTGCTTGCACAGAAGCATGTCGCGACGTGAATCTCCCCATCCAATTCTTACACAATGACACACATTTCGTGTGTTTTCTGTGAGCAGTTCTGTTCGAACAGTTGGAGTAGGGAATATTGTAAGCTACTGCTAGCAAAACAATGCAAAATATGTAATTATTTTCGGTAATCTGGACACTTCGTAATCCAACACCCCTTTGGTCCTATACCTGTCAGACTATTAAGGGAGAGATGTACTGTTTGTATGTACTGAGTAATTTTTATGTTCTTATTTATGTAATTTTAAAATTTCTATTGTTTTCAAGTCAGTAAAGCATGTAAATTTAGAAATTAGGTTTTAATGCCATATATTACAAACATTTTCAGCCATTTTTTATTTTTTCAACTGTTATATATAACAGAGGGAAAGTCAAAAAAATGACCCCCCTAAGATTTTACATTTTTGGACTCGGGACACCTTGAAATGTCCAGAAATGCAAAAAAATTTGGAGGTAATTTCTGTATGTATGTATGTATGTATGTATTGATGTTAATGTGTACGGAGCACAATTTTGTTCACCCTCTTTGAAGCTTAATAACTCCTGTGCTTTTCATCAAAAATTTCTGAAATTTTGCAAGGAGGTTTGTGTATTAGGGGGATTGATGTTATTAAATTTTGATGATCAAAGGTTGAGGGGATGGGAAGATAATGGGGTCATGTGTATCTCCAGTAAGATCAGACTTAATAACAAGTAAAATTGTGATTATCATTTATAAAACACATCCAACTCAAAATTAAGCTTTATGCTATTTTATAATAGTTAAAAATATAAAAAGGCTTTTTAATAAAATATGATTACAGAATGCACCACCAAAATTTTAAATGTTTCCAGAAAGTTAAGCAACTTGTTGCTGGTTTATTTTAATCAGCCTTCCTCTAGCATTAGTGAATATAATCATAAAAGTTAACATAACATATGATATTAAAATCTAATTTCTTTGCTGAAACTGAAGAAGAGGTATGGTTATATTCTAAATTTCCTGTTCCAGTTGCATAAATACATACATAATTTGTTTTGCATATAATAAACTTGCACGCAAAAGGTGTTTTCAGTATAGATAATATTTTAGATTTTAACTTCAATACCTCACTAATTTCAGTTTATCTGGATCTTAATTAATCAGATTGGATTTTTTAAAACTCTTTCTGCCTTGCGAGCACTAAGACAATTGTTTTTTTAGCAAGTTTATTATGAGTTCGGCTAGGCCCACAATAGGATGGCTGAATGATCTAATATTTATTTCAACCCCAAACCCCCCAGAGTAATCAGCTGCCAACTTGCTGCTCAGTCATCAAAATCAGATTGGTTCTGGTCCCATCTGATCCAGATAAACAGGGTTTGACTATATGATTTAAAATTTTAAAAAATCCCCTTAACTCTTCCCAATCTTTTAGAAAGAGATTAAAACTATGATGAGAACAGATTTGAAACCTATTTGTTCCATTGATAATAAACAGAATCAAAGATTTGAAAGACAATTATGAAGTCTTTTACAAAACTGATTAATGTAAAGAGTTTACTATAATGCAAATCTTTCCAAAATAAAATAATGCTGCAATCAGACAGCGATACAAACATATTTTATTAACACAATTATATTTTTCAACTACAATTTGCCTTACATTAGCCACAAACATGCTATCTTAAATGCATCTTTTATTGTTACAAATGTAAAACAGTATAATACTTTGCTCTTTTTTTTTATAGTATAATTTACTTGTATTAATGTCTAATATTTATAAAATAATTTGTTTCGTTTCTAATAAAAAAAAACTACAATTTTTTAATACTAGCAATTTAAATTTCCAATTGCATATAATTTTCTTTGATTATTATGCAGTCCTTGACTTCTGGACATTTGACTTTCAGATAACTTACATACTACTTTGATAACACTTTTATGTGATAAATTTATACTTTTGTACTGTACATTTTCAGAGGATAAACAAAACTTGCAAGTTCAATAACTTGTAGCAGCAGCATTTTCTATGTTATTGTCCCCCTGTTTAATCTAAGGTTTTATGCATTTTGATTTTTATTGCAGACCGTTTTTATGCATTTTACTGTAAAAAAAATTAAAACCTTAATAAAAGATTTTGTACTCTGGAAATGGAACTTCTTTTATAATATTCAATATTCACGGATCTTTTCTGAAAACACATTATGTTTGTAAGTTTGGGACTGCCTAGATTTAAATTCTAATGATTTAAATGTTGCCAGAAAAATTTAAAATTCAAATTTATGCTCTTCTTTTTGAAATATTTATGAGTGATTTATATATCAAATTACTTATAATTACATCAGAATTAATGTCATTGATATTTGTTACAGCAATGTTAGAAAAATATATAAATTTAAGTTAGAAGAATAATGTAATTTCAAAGTTTTGAATCTAATAAATATTTGGAGATAACAGAACCAATGCAAATACGAGAGAACATTGTATAATATTTTAGATGATACTTATCAGTTTAACAATTCTTAATATATCCAAAAATAACTTAATAATGCTTGTAAACAACAGTGCAATTTAAGAGTTCTAATCTTCCCATTCCATTAATTTAATTATGGTCATGATTATTAAATTTATAGAATACAATTTCCTTAAATTGTGAATAATAAATCTTCACAAATTATAAGTTATTTATTAATGATTTATGCTCTATTTTTGCTGAATTTATTATAACAGCTCATTAGAAAAGACTATTTGCTGTTAATTTTGTTCTAATATTGTTTTAAAGCAGACAAATTAGATTTTTTATAATATTTTTTTCTATTGGTATATTTATATCTTTCCAAATGTTCTTGATCAAGATTTTTTAACACTGAATAGGGCACTTTTTTAAAGTTTTTAGAATTAATCTTTACATCATTCTCAGAAAAATACAAAACAATTTGAACAATTTTTTGAGCAAAATAGTTAAAAATCAAACAATATTAATTAATAGAACAAAATAATTTACCTGTTCTTCACTAGTTATAACCCATCTTCTTGCTTGTAAAGCTTCAATGACATTGACAGGACTATATACATCGTGGCTGTTCTGATTATTTAGTTCTATAATATAATAATTATAAATTTACTTACAAAGCTTTTTTATATAATATTCAGTATACAACTATCATAAAATATATATGTACAGATAAATCTCATTTAATAAATGGATTCAATTCCAGAAAATTATTTGTTGTATGTTCTTCAAGTATATCTTGAAAGCATTTGATGGTTAGTTTAAAGAGAAATGCATTTATAACTCCTTCAATCATATCTCATTAGACTATCTTTGCCATCAGGATGATAACATTTGTTTACACTAGTAATATTGTGAGGTAGTAAGAGAGAATTTTTGATTTACAGTTACTTTTAGTTACTGTTGTCCATATATTACACTGGTTTACACATCTAAGTCAGTAACAAACCTTTTTTTAAACCGATTTTGTACAACTTGAGACTGCTGATTTCAGATATGCAATCAGAAATTATGTATCATGTCTCAGTTTTTCACAGTTCACAATTATTCATTTATACAAGTTTCAGCTTTACGCAGATATTTCACAAACTTCATTACACATAACAATGAACTTATGACTATGTTAATACTAAAAAAAGTAATTTTCCATTCACAAGAATAAATGAAAATGTGTAAGTACTTAATCAGGCAAGAACTGTTGCTTCTTTGATTTTCTGGAGTAGGTGGAATCAATAGTGTCATATTGCAAGCATCAACAATAGTCTGCTATCACGATTTTGTTTCATCTGCCTTGGTATTGGTGTTGCATGATCTTTATATCTGGTGGAAGCACTTGCCTTGTTCCTCACTTACGGAACCAAGATTTGAAGGAAAGTTTATGTGGCCATGCAGGAAATGCACCTTGACACTTATGTTTGCTCTTAACATCTGGAAAAGCTGTCAACAAAGTTTCAACCAGAACCTCCTAGTTGTCTGCTCTGAAGTTGCCAAATAAGTTTCTAACATCATCAGAAAATGCACATCAAAGCATCTTTCTCCATGCTGTTTATTATGTTGAAATTTTTTGTCTTCACAAAAACATCAGCTTTACCTTTCTCAGAAAACAGTGCAGGAAATTTAGAACAGATGTACTTGAAGCAGGCACTATGTTTATTCAGAGAATTTGTATATTGCTTCATAAGCCATAATTTTATGTGAAGGGGAGAGAGTAAAACTTTATTAGGGTCAACAAGGGGTCATTTTGTATATTCTTTTGACCAACATGAAATTCCTCCAACAGGCCTCTCTTTTCTTGCCCTTGCACAGCTATCCCATAGTCACAAAAAGNCAATGTTATGTAATGGTGTGGGTGAGTATCCATCAGCAATACGAACGCGCCACGTCTGTGCTTGTTTGTGTTTGCTTCTGTCACACAATCAGTCAGACTAGTAAGCTGTTAACTAGCAATTTTAGCAATTCTTGTGTTTCTTGAAAGGCGTGAGTGCAATATTATTGACAAAAAAATAATATTAGAGTTTTTTTTCTTCAAAATTAAGTTTTCCTACAAATTTTTTTAACTTTCAAATTTTTAATCCATAATAGCATGTCGGAAAAGCAAACAAAAAAACGGAAGGTTGCGGATGAGCACCGGCATTTCCAAGAAAAGTGGAAATTTGATTATTTTTTCACTTTCGTCGAAGATAAAGCTGTATGCTTAATATGCTCAGAGACTGTGTCGACATTAAAAGAATATAACATAAAAAGGCATTACGATACAAAACATGAACAACAATATAAAAACTTAACAGGACAACTCCGGATAGATAAGTTTAATCAAACAGAGAAAAACTTGGGAAAACAACAGGCTATATTTAAAAATCAAGCTATTTTATCAAATATGGCAGTAAAGGCTAGTTTTGTTGTCAGTCAAATACTGGCAAAAAAAAAATGAAACCCTTTGCGGATGGAGAGATGATAAAAGAATGTCTGACTGCTGTTGCAGAAATAGCATTTCCTGATAAAATAAATATTATTTCAAACATTAGTTTATCAAGATTCACCATTGCAAGGAGAATTGAAGACTTGTCCGAGAACATAGCAACAACGCTTCGTGAACGCATTGCAAAATTCGAATACTGTTCTTTGGCACTTGATGAGAGTTGCGATATTAGCGATACAGCACAACTGGCTATATTTTTACGTGGTATTGACACCAAATTTAATATTACCAAAGAATTGTGTTCACTGATTCCAATGCAAGGGACTACAACCGGCAAAGACCTGTACGATGAACTAAAGTCTGTGTTGGAAAATTTTTCAATTTCATTAGAAAAGATTATTGGTATATCGACAGATGGAGAATGAGCAATGTCAAGCATGGAGGAGGAGGAGGAGGGGGAAGGCTATTTCAAGACATTAAGAAGGTCACAGGAAGGGAAATATTCATTAACCACTGCATAATTCACCAAGAAAATTTGTGTGTGAAAAGATTGAGTTTGCCAAATGTCACAGTACCAATAATTAAACTAATCAGTTTTATAAAGTCGCGCACGTTAAATCACCGTGAATTTAAAGAATTCCTGAAAGATTTAGAAACTGAATATGGCGACGTGGCTCTACTAAGCCAACGTACCGAAGTACGTTGGCTTAGTAGAGGTGCAATGTTAAAAAGAGTATACAACTTAAAAAGCGAAATACAATTGTTCTTGGATATGAAGGGATATGCCTTTCCTCATTTTGGTAATAAAGAATGGATGTGCGAGTTTGGGTTTCTTATCGACATGATTCAGCATCTCAATGATCTTAATGTGTAACTTCAACACAAAGGACAGTTTATTCACAATTTGTATGATAAAATTCAGGGCTTTGAGCGCAAATTAAAATTGTGGAAACAGCATCTTTTGCAGAATAATGTGTCTCACTTTCCACATTTAGAAAAAGAAAACGTTACTACTTCTCAAAAATACGCACAATATATAGATATTTTAATCAATGAATTTCAATTACAATTCCAAATGTTCAAAGCTGAGAAGACAGCGGTTTCCATGAAAATGTTTTCCTCGCCATTTAATATCGATGTGGATACAGTTTCCGAAGACTTTCAAATGGAAGTGATTGACATGCAGAATAATACCGATTTAAAAAATGTATTTTTCTCAGTAAACATCGAAAATTTTTATAAATCTTATGTGAGCCCTGAGAAATTTCCGCGTTTGATGAAAAATGCAAAGCAAATGATGTCTCTGTTCGGAAGTACGTATGTTTTCGAACAATTATTTTCAACCATGAAATTACTCAAAAATGACCACCGATCAAGACTGAGTGATGCACGATTAAAAAGCTGCGTACGTGTAGCTACCTCATCAATTCTGGCTGATATTGATCAGCTTGTATCGAAAAAACAGTGCCAAATTTCTCATTAAAAATTTCAAGTAAATTCGTTTTTCTGTTCTTTTCTTGTTTGTTTTTATTTTGCATTAAAATTTGTATATGAAATCTTTACTTTTTTTTTAAAATTTTATATTTTTTTATTCTAGTGTTTATTATAAATAAAGTTTTGTAAATTATTAATAAGTGTTACTTTATGTACGGCCCGCCAAAAAATTTTAAAATTTAAATTGGCCCGTTGATTAAAAAGGTTGCTCACCCCTGATGTAACCTATCTGCTTACCTAGTATCAACCATATAACCAATATACTTTATCTTAAAAAAAGAAGTTTCACTGTTTCATAAATTTCTTTCATTTGTATAGAGTGACCAATTGGAATGGAAGCTAACTTGTTGTCATTGTGCAGCAACACACATTTTAAACTTCTCTTCAAGCTGTCAATGAAGAGACTTCAATCTTCTGCATGATATTTGCACCCCATAGCTTCAATCAATCCCTTCACATCAATACCGTAGACAAGATATTTGTTCATCTGAAAATATTTTCTGTAAAATCTAAAAAAATCTAAATCTAAAAATATATATATTCTTATACATGAAGGTTGTTCCATGATCTAGCATATTTCTTTCCTTAAGTCTTGAACTCAATATGTCTGCCGATGAGATAAAGATCATATACAAGATCATTTAACTCAGCTTGAGTGAAAGGGTTGCACATCCTGTTTTCATCAACTGACAGCAAAAACACAAAGTCCTCATCATACTATCTGTATTTGCAAGGATACTTTGAATCTTCATTGCTTGAACTCGCAAATTTGCGGAAATAGGGTCAGGTATTTCATTGAAATGAGGAATGGGTCTCCTTGAGAGTAAATTAGATAGTGTAGGGAATGTTTATTCTTTTTGCTGAAGCTTAATACATTCACCACAAAAATAGCAGTCATTAACATGTTTTTTGTTGCTTTCACCACACTATTGCCATTCAAAAACTAAGGCTTTTTTCTCTGACCATTGGGTCCATTTATCTGTGATTTTCAATACGTGATCTGCATATTATGTGGAACCCAGGTCTTGTCATGGTCACCCAGTCAAACTCCAAAATACATTTTATAGGCAGATATATTTGTTCATTATTTTAGTGTTGTAAAACAACCACAAGTATAGTAAAATATGTCCAGGACATTCTTACACTTTCAACAAACATTTGCCATGTCAGGTTAAATTTGCAACAGAGAACAAAGAATTGGTAAAATGATATGTAACAGTACCTTCACTTACATTCCTCATCGTGGGGATACCTGATGTGATTGATAAAAATGGATATGACTTTTAGGTTCAGCATCCTTGAGTTACTAACAATCAATTGTCAGCCTGAAATCAGAAAACTTGATGTAGACCAATGTTATGTAATGGTGTGGGTGAGTATCCATCATGATAAAAGGGTGGGGATGTTTACAAAAGCATTTTTGAAAATTTTATAATTTTGGAGTGTTTTACTCATACTTTGAGTAATTCTTCATTTACAATTAATCATAAAATAGCATTGTGATAAAGCTAAAATTCTGTACATGATTTTCTTAGATTTATCATATTTTAGAGATGAATTCTGTAAAAGTATAAGCAACATTTTTGTCCTTGTATAAACCTTGACTTTCAATTTATCTTTCACACTCTACAATTTCGCTACATTTTAAAATAAATGAATTAAAAATTTATATTTAAAAAAACTCTTGAAATAATTATATGTAGAAATAGCATATTCAAAATTATAATAATTTTAATTTAATTAAAATTTTTTTTAACTTTTGAAATAATAAATTTTAAACATTCAAACCTTTCAATGTTTGATACAATGCATCAACCAGACTATAGTTTGGTTTATTTGATAACTTATTTTTTGTGGAAATTCCTTCTAACCAATGAAGAAATGAGGACCAAGAAGCCAAAGCTTGAAGGACTACATTTAAGAAACAAGAATTTCCAAGATTTTGCAATCCTGGAATTAAATCTGAAAATAAAATTCATACTTGTTATTACAAACACTAATGTGAAATTATTTCATAAATTAAAATATCTTATGCTTAATATATTTGTGATTTATTCAATTTAAATAATCTCAACCATAGTGACATAACAAAGGAATTTATTACATCTATAATAATTGTGCACATTAATGATAGCTTAATCATAATTAGATGACAAGTATTTATTTATTTTACATTATTAGGAATTGACTGAAAACAATTCCTAATAATGTACTGTACAGTTTAATAAATGTCAAATTATTAACTCCATTTTTAATTAATATGTTTAGTTAATAGTTTATTGAAATTACATAAATTCTGCACTATACTGTAGACAGTTATATTGCCATATATTGTTTAGTTTTAATAATTAAATTAAGAAATTAATTAAGAAATGACTGGAATGGAAGTGGTTTTACTTTAAAATGCTCAACTTGTAACATATGATATTATTAGATTTGTAGATTTAATGATCATATAATTTCTATAACATACAATGAGCTTCAAGATGTGTTGATCATGCATCTATATTCTATATATATATACAGTATATACACACACACACACACACTAACTATCTATGTAACACCCATATCTTGAGTAACACCCATATTTTCAAGATCCTGGTATGCCACTGCGTAACGTGGTCGGGTATTTTGCCTCAGAAGACATCTAGCTTGGGTAAAAAACAGGAAGGGAAAAAATAGAAAGGATAGTTCTACATCAGACTAAGTAGAATGAAGTTGTTCTTTATTTATATGTATCTTACATATAGTATGTAAGATACATATAAATAAAGAACAACTTCATTCTACTTAGTCTGATCTAGAACTATCCTTTCTATTTTTTCCCTTCCTGTTTTTTACCCAAGCTAGATGTCTTCTGAGGCAAAATACCCGACCACATTACGCAGTGGCATACCAGGATCTTGAAAATATGGGTGTTACTCAAGAAAGATTTGGAGAATACTAAGACATGTGCCACCTGTTGTTTTCCCAAG